GTAGCGGACAGCACGACAGCCTAGTCGCTTGCTCGCGTCTATCACATAAACTCTGTAAACTCTAATAATCGCTAATAAACTAATCATTAAGTAAATTCAATCGTTTAATTATTTAAAGCTATTCGAAAAATCTCGATAGCTCAACACTAGCTTTAAGGATGTATCAGATATAAATTTATTACTGGTTTTCGATAACGTTTTAATCGATAATAAAATAACGGTGCAATTTATCGATATTTAAAGCAAAACTCGATATGCACGTGCTATACAGGGACCTAGGAAACAAAATTTCAAGTCTCTAGCTCTTATATCTTCTGAGATTCTACGCGTTCAAATATACGGACAGACGGACAGACGGACAAGGCCAAATCAACTCAGCTCGTCGCCCTGATCAAGAATACATATACTTTTGGGGTCTGCCACTCCTCCTTCTGCCTGTTACCTACTTTTAACAAAACAATTATACCCCGATTTCCCATTAAAAATGGGTTCAGGGTATAAAAATTTGCGCAATAAATCGCGGTAGTTTCACTTTCGAAACTACTTTATTACTAATTATCCTACGAATTATTACTAATGAAACTACGATATTACCAATGATCCTTGTGCGAGTGACGCGAGCCCATTTGTATTTAAATCTGTAGGAGCGAAAGCTTGTCCCCTGTACACCATTACTGCAGTCGCGTCGGCGCTTAGAGCAACACATATCTGCGTATTTAAAATAATACAGCCTACGTGCGCTCTCATATATTATACTAAGAGTATTCCTGTATTGCTCCTCACAATAGAAAACAAGAATTCAAATGAAGCGGCACCCATAATCAAATATTGTAATCAGTTTATTTGAAGGAAGTCATGATGATAATCTATAAAGCTGAAAAATAATTTCTAAAAAAGCTAGAGATGGTCCAGGCCTACAACCACATCTAGTTTTCATGTGAGGTATGAATTCAAAATCTGTCAAAGTTAGATACCGTTTTTAAAAATCACCTTAGCTCTGATTTCGTTATTATAAAAATCACAAAAACTTTAACTTTTTGAAATTTTTTGGAAATAAAATTATTTTTAAGTTCAACTGTCAAAGTCATGTCTAAGAAAGTCAAGCGTAAAACTAATCGAAAGAAGAAAAGTAATCGAAAAGCGGATATACAGTCCTTTAAAAAGGAAGTAGAAACAGATAACCATAAGATACCACTTGAAGATTTATTGAAGCGTTTAGGAACTGACCCGCACCTGGTAATATTTTTAAAAGTACATCGCAGTTTATATCACATTAATCAAACTTATGTCTTAGGGACTTTCGCATTCGGCAGCAAAATTACGGCTTGAATTGGATGGTCCTAATATGTTAACGCCAATACCTAAAACACCTCAGTGCATAATTTTTATAAGAAATATGTTTGGTGGTTTCGCTATATTACTCTGGTCTGGTTCGATTCTTTGCTTTGTAGCATATATTATTCAAATAACAACAGAGCCCGAGCCAGTTGATGATAATTTGTACTTGGGCACTGCCTTGCTTGTAGTGGTGGTTATTACAGGATTATTTTCATACTTTCAAGTAAATATATATGTAGAACAGTTTTAAAATTCCATTGCTCTAAACATACGAAAATTTTTGTTGCAAAGTAGGAGCACAAATCGTCTGCAATTATGGACTCTTTCAAAAATCTTGTACCGCAATTTGCAACAGTAATACGGGAAGGAGAAATAAATACTGTAACCGCTGAAGATCTCGTAGTCGGTGATATTGTAGAAGTGAAATTTGGTGACCGTGTGCCAGCTGATATTCGTATTTTAGAAGCTCACAGCTTGAAGGTTGACAACTCATCATTAACAGGTGAATCAGAACCTCAAATAAGAACCACTGAGTTTTCACATGAGAATCCCTTGGAAACAAAAAACTTGGCATTTTTTTCAACTAACGTGCTTGAGGGTAATTGTCGTGGAGTTGTAATTGCAACTGGTGACAGAACAGTGATGGGACGAATCGCTAATCTAACTGCAGGATTGGACCAAGTACAATCACCAATATCTAAAGAGATAGAACATTTCATACGCATAATTACAGTATTTGCGGTTGTTTTAGGGTGTACATTTTTTATAATTGCTATGATTCTTGGATATACCTTTCTTGATGCAGCAATATTTCTCATTGGAATTATTGTAGCTAACGTACCCGAAGGACTACTGGCTACCGTGACAGTATGCTTGACGCTTACTGCGAAGCGAATGGCTCATAGAAATTGCCTTGTTAAAAATTTAGAAGCTGTCGAAACACTTGGTTCAACGTCCACAATTTGTTCTGATAAGACTGGCACATTAACTCAAAACCGTATGACAGTAGCTCACTTATGGTACGACCAATCGATCGTGGAATCTAATACAACTGAATCATTTAAGGGAACGGAATTTAATTTAGAGGATAGGTCATTTAATGCACTTTTATTATGTGCAGCGTTGTGTAACTCTGCTGAATTCAAAGGTGGTCAAGATGATGTTAAAACTTTGCAAAAAGAGATTAACGGTACAGCTTCTGAGGCAGCTCTCCTTAAATTTGCAGACATTGTTTATGGTACCGTTGGAACGGTACGTCGAACACACTATAAAATTACCGAAATACCTTTTAACTCCACTGATAAATTCCAAGTATCGGTCCATTCCTATATTACTAGTGATTCTTATTTTATAGTAGAAATGAAAGGGGCACCAGAGCGCATTTTAGACCGATGCAATATGATTATAATTCATGGTGAAACGACATTACTAACCTCTACCTTGAGAGAAAAATTCGAAGAGGCATATATGGATATGGGGGGAATGGGTGAACGAGTGCTTGGATTCGCCGATTTAATTTTGCCGAAAGACCAGTATCCTCAGTTATATGAATTTAGCTCTGAGCCACCCAATTATCCATTAGAAAATCTTAGATTTCTTGGGTTGATTTCAATGATTGATCCACCCCGTGCTACTGTTCCTGATGCTGTTGCTAAATGTCGCACGGCAGGTGTTCGGGTTATCATGGTTACAGGAGACCATCCAATAACAGCGAAATCTATCGCTCGCAGTGTGGGAATAATAACTAATCCCACACTAGAGGATATAGCTACGACTCGTGGTATTCCAATAGATGAAGTGGATCCTCGTCAAGCCACTGCCATTGTTATCCATGGCGGAGAATTACGTGAAATGAAAGCCGAAGAATTGGATTCTGTTATCTGCTATCATAAAGAAATTGTTTTTGCGCGAACGTCACCCCAGCAAAAATTAATTATTGTAGAAGCTTGTCAGAGACGTGGTGAAATCGTAGCTGTAACAGGTGATGGTGTGAATGACTCACCAGCACTAAAACGTGCAGATATAGGTGTCGCTATGGGAATTGCTGGTTCAGATGTTTCCAAACAGGCTGCTGATATGATTTTACTTGATGATAACTTTGCCTCTATTATAGTTGCTATTGAAGAAGGTCGCCTAATATTTGATAATTTAAAGAAGTCTATTGCTTACACTCTCACATCAAATCTTCCAGAGATTACGCCATTTTTGTTCTTCGTAATGTTCGACATACCCCTAGCTCTGGGTACAATAGCTATACTATGTATAGACATCGGCACAGATATGTTACCTGCAATATCTCTTGCATATGAAAAAGCCGAATCTGATATTATGTGTCGCATGCCTCGAGACCCTCATGAAGATCGCTTGGTGAACAAAAAGTAGAAGTATGAATATATTTTTTTACTTTTTTTAATAGTTACTCTTAAACTCTAGACTTATTTTTATGGCATATCTTCAAATTGGAGTAATTCAATCGATAGCAAGCTTTTTTACTTTCTTTTCAATAATGGCAGAACATGGGTTTCTTCCAACTAGACTTTTTGGTATAAGAAAAGATTGGGACTCCAAGGATGTTGAAGATTTACAGGATGGTTATGGGCAAGAATGGGTAAGTTAATGAAGTTATTTATTTACATTGAAATGTTAAAATGTATCTTACAATTTTAAATTTATAATGTATTATGTATAAAAAAAATCTGTTTATATGCTCTCTTCATTTTCCTGCTAACGTATTTAAATTTTATACAAATTAATAACAAGTGTTAACAATGCAGTCGGGCGATTTCGATTTTAGAATACTCATTCACTGCCCAAACGCTGTTAGCCCAAGTCTCTAGTGCGCAAAAAAAAGCAGGGTCTGATCCCAAAAGCTATTCACTTTTATATATATCTAGTCCATTATTGCAGATAGAATCTTTAATATACAATTTCAATTTTTCTACTCATTCACGAAAGTGAATAATTTTGTAAATATACTCAGACTGACAAACCAAGAACAAAAAGCTTTTTCGGCGTGGCAAGCCGCAAAACTTTATATCTTATCTTATATCTTATCTTATATCTTATCTTAGTTAAGTTACTAGTAACTTCCTCTATCGAATACATTTGAAACGCTAAACGAGACACTTGTGTTTAGGTAGTGCTTTCTGTCTCATTGTCTCGTTTTTTTTTTTTCAAAAGCCCAAGCATCGCGCCGAACGAATCAAAACGAGATATGCTTACATACCAAAAACTTCGATATGCAAATGCTTTACAATAAAGAATCAACGAACGAAAGAAACGATAAAGCATAATTAAAGATTTTTTTTTCGTTTTAGCTATCAGCTAGTGTTACCAGCTTGGGCTATCTCAAGCTAAATTATTGCTATTATTACACAAACACATTTTTATTTAGAAATAAAAAGAATAAGATTTCATTCATATAAACGTAATTTTATAGACTTAGACATTAAGCCATAAAGTTTTTTTTTTTTTTATACCCTGAACCCAACCCTGAACACAAACACATTTTTATTTAGAAATAAAAAGAATAAGATTTCATTCATATAAACGTAATTTTATAGACTTAGCCATTAAGCCATAAAGTTTTTTTTTTATACCCTGAACCCATTTTCAATGGAAAATCAGGGTATAATGGTTTTGTTAAAAGTATGTAACAGACAGAAGAAGGCGTGGCAGACCCCACAAAGTATATATATTCTTTATCAGGGCGATGAGCTAAGTCGATTTGGCCCTGTCCGTCTGTCTGACCGTCCGTCCGTCCGTCCATAGGTATGAACGCGTCGATCTCAAGATATAAGAATTAGAGACTTGAAATTTTTTTCCTAGGTCCGTGTATATCACGCGCATATCCAGTTTTTCTCTAAATATCGATAACTACTCTCCATATTTTATTATCAATTAAAAACCTTATCGAAAGCTAGTTATTTAATTATATCTCCTACACCTTTCGAGCTAGAGCTTCCAAATTTTAAATGTAGACATATGTTATATAATTTCGATTTTTGTTGTAATTTACCCCCCACCTCTATATCCACCCCCTTACCATCACCTTTGTAAAAGGCGTATTTCAAGTACTAGAGACTTGTGCTTTGGAAATTACATACATTTTCATCATGATATCCCTATGATAACGCCCTGAAAGTTTCATTAAGATTGTACCTCTATTGAAAAAAAAAAAAACATTTTTATAATATTGCCCACACTGCAGCGCAGCGCAAGCGCAGCTGCTGCTTACTGCGCAGTTAGCAGAGCTCGTTATAATATGTGCGTGTGTATGTATGTGTGCCGAAAAAAAGTGAAGATTAGAATATCAGATTAGAGGGTTCAGGGTATCTCCTAGTCGAG